CTGGTTGTGCTACCTGTGACGCCACCTCAGCGTGGCTGGATGAGTGGTATTAAGCCCGCATCCAGGATCTGAACTGGCGAAACCCCTGGGCCACCGAAGTAGAGCAGAGGAACTTAACCGCTAAGCCATGGGGCCGGCCCCTTACCTACTTTTTTTCTTTTAACTTTTTCAACATGACTACAAGGAGATTTAAAATTATATATGTGGCTCATATTACATTTCTATTAGACACTGTTGTTCTGAACTCTGGGGCTTTGTCCATACAGGAACGTTTGTAAAGGGAATGGAGAAATTAAGCGTGTGTGTCTGTCATCGACTGTATATTTTCCCAGGCTTCTTGCCTTTTGTTTATCAAGTAATTGTTTTGAAATCACATGGGTTGGGTTGGTTGTCATTGGCAAATCGAATTGCTACCTGAAAGGGATGTCTTTTTCCTCTCAAACTATTTTTTCCATAATTCTGCCATTGGATAAATTACTTAAAGAAACTCTTCTGGCTGCATCAAACAGAAAAAAGACTTAATCTGCCAGAATGGATTGGAATCAGCCCATGCTCTTTTCTTCTGTCTCCTGTAAAATGAAAACAAAAAGCACCTTTTTTCCTGGCACTGATTTGACACAGCTGCTCCTAGTTCTGGTTTGTGAGTGAGTGCTGAGGCCACCAGGCTGGCGCCCACTGACGATACCCACCCTGCTGCCCTCACCGCCCCCCACAGGCCACCCCACAGGGAGCAGACCCGGGAGGCATTTCCACTTCCTGGGCAGACTCTGGTTTGAAACTCGCAAGTGCTGTCCTTTGTCCCTCGTATTTTAGGCAGTAGTGGCTTAAACGTTGTCGTGTTGTCTGCAGAGTCACACTCCGTGTGAGAAAATGCTGCTGGTAATGTTTATTCAACATGTGCAGCCTGGTATCAAAGTGTCTGCACTATGTTTGCTTGCTCTTTATTTTCTTGATCTTAAGCCAAAACAAACTGTCAATAAGAAACATATCTAAAGACTGGGTGTAGGTTGGGGGCTGGGGAATGATGCTCGGGAGAGAAACAGCTGTGCCCGTTTACTTTGAGCTAAAAAGAGGCTGATGCTTTTTGCCAACTATTGATTCTTCAGGGACACATCCCTGGGCTCTCCTGCTATGCCCACAGAATGATGCCCTCCAAGCCCAGGGACAAAGTGCTTCAAACTGGGTTTTACAGGGAGAGAGGAATAGTTATAACCCATTAGTAACCCTTGGGGAGACGTTGATGGAGTTGATGAGGAAAGAAAAGCAAATATCACTGAATCGCTCCCTCCTGAGATTTTGTATTGTAAGCAAAAGAGATACAGTGCCACCAGCTTTGGTTTTTGCCAGATCATTCATTCAAATAGAAACCCAGGACCCAGAGCATGCTTCCCCTGCATTGTCTGAAGAGAAGAGCCAGCTGCAGAAGCAAAATGGTCTGCAGGCCCTGCCTCTCCCCTCCCTAGAGATGCTGGGGACTCAGCAGCCTCAGAGAAACACCAGCCAAGGACTGGACTGCCCTGGGAAGACCCTCCCTCCCTCCAAGTCTGGTGGCTCCTGTCATGCATCCATTCTCTCCCCTGGGCAGCAGGGCCCAAAGGACCCAAGCCCATGTTGGAGCGTCAGGGAGCAAGGCCGGGCAAAAGGTGGAATAGGGATGTGTCAGCAGAGCCTAGAACTGAGCATATGGGACACTGTGAGGTGTACATGAGGCAGATGGACGAAGGGCTGGGCAGGGAAATAGCACCAGATAGGAGGGAACAGGACTAAGTGTAGGGTCCCCAGACTTCAGCAAGAGGACCTGAACTGGAGAGGGGCAGGGGAACCAGCTCAGAAGCCCTGAGCCCCTGGGGCTTGGCTACTGATGCTTTTTATCCAGAGGCTCTGAGGTGAACCTGGGTGGGAGGAAGATGGCGAAGGGCTGACATCCAGGTCTTGCTGCAGCCACCTTGTTGATGGTTGTTAGGCTGATAACTGCACACTGGGGTCCTTAGACGCTCAGTCACAAGGTAAAATTGTAAACAAAAATGTAAACTACTTGGGGCTGGCCCCGTGGCCGAGTGGTTAAGTTCGCGCGCTCCGCTGCAGGCGGCCCAGTGTTTCGTTAGTTCGAATCCTGGGCGCGGACATGGCACTGCTCATCAGACCACGCTGAGGCAGCGTCCCACATGCCACAACCAGAGGAACCCACAACGAAGAATACACAACTATGTACCGGGGGGCTTTGGGGAGAAAAAGGAAAAAATGAAATCTTAAAAAAAAAAAAAAGAGTACTCTACAACTTATAAAAAAAAAAAATGTAAACTACTTTGCAAAAACAGAATCACCATTCACTAGAGGACCAAAGAGTTATTAAATGTTGCCCACTTAAAAAATTGTTTTATCACTCAAGCTGCTTTCTACCAAAATGAGCATAATTCTAAAAACAAAAAAAAAAAGATAAAATATTCACCATAATTCATCCGTTTCAACAAATCCTCTGGTTGGTGGTGATGATCCAGATTTATCTCCCACCCTTTCATAGGCATACATTACTTTTACAGCATCATGATTATCCTGTATGTAATTATATGTCTTGATTTCTTCACATAACATGCTGGTGTGAGCATTGATCTGTATTTCTAGGTGGACTTCAGGATCATCGTGTTGACTGACTTTAATGCCCTTTGGAATCAATGCACAGGGTTTTAGCGAACTCCCTCTTGCGGGATGTTTTGAGGACCTTCCCCTGAATATGATGAACATTGTTGTGTTTATATTTTTCCTTCTATAACATCGTGTCCTTAAGTTATCAAAAGAGAGTCTAATGAGCCAAACTTCTTATAAAGTTAAAATGATGTTTTTGCTTCTTGATGTCCTTTCCATTTTGATTTCCAGTTAAAATCAGTAACAACTGTGAGTGTCTCAAAATCAGTGCATTTTCCTCAGCTTACAATGATTCTTTTCTCTAGTTTAACTTTATAAAATGACATCATCATTGGAATTTTTATATTACTAGCTTTTCACTTTTATTAATGTCATTCTGTTCCCACAGGGCGATGTGATTTTGCATACTTTGAAGTAAAGGCAAATGCTTTGAAGTAAAAGTGCAAATATGATTTTGTTTTGCTCAGCTTTAAGTGTGCTAAACTCAGAGCCAGTATTTAAAAAGTGCTTGGTTTTCCATTTAAAATGCTAGTTTATATAGCACTGTCCATTTTTTCTCTGCCATATACTTTATTAATTATTTAAATTAAGTTTATTTAAGCTATCACATCCCATGAAAGAGAAAAACAACTTTGATAAAATGCATTCAAATAATTAAAGTCCAAGGCACAAGCAACAGAAGAGGCAGTCTGTCCCTCCGTGGTCCCTAGTAATTGGCCCACATGCTCACACATCCCCAACCAACCCCCTTTGTCTGGCTTGTCAGAAGACATTAGCTGAGACTAATCTGGGAGCCACTTCCTGGCTCCCAAAAGGACACAGTCACCAAGTAAGAAAGACTCATTTATCAGAATACAAACTTTGCTACGTAAGTGAGGATTGTGTGAAGCATATTTCATGCATCATTATCTGGGCCTGATTAGCAAGGATGGACATTGGTCCTCAATTTTAACAATCAGCGGAAAAGACCTTCGGCTTTCACTGAAGATAGACAATTGCCATACACATGTCTCTATTCTCTGCACAGTGAGAAAATAGAGATGGAAGCCCTTGTGAAGACCGTTTTCAAATTGTTTTGGCAGCAGTTGTTCCATGGATGCTATTGTGACAGTGACGCAAATAAGGCAAGATCCGGCTCTCCTGAGCAGGCAGATTGACATCTTCCTGGAGGTCTGGGTGGCAGGGCCCACAGTGTGCCTCTGGACACCAAATGTGGCCAATCCTCCCCCAGGCTTAGGAGCCCATGTGACCTAGGGAGGTCTGACCTAGGTTAGTGACCTAACCTATGTGACCTAGGTTAGTCTCTTGACACACAGTTTCTGGTCTGTAAAAAGATGATCACAACACTACCTGCCTTATAAATTGCTTGTGAGCATGATAATAAGATGATACGTGCAAAAGAGCTATGTTTGGGGCCGGGCACATGTAGGCTGCATGTGGCACAGAGGGATGGCGGGGGCCTGTGCTGTTAGGCGCTGCCTCCTGTTGGGTCTCAGAGAAGGCCCTTGGGGAGTCACCAGGAGTGGGAGCTGTTGTTACTGTCACTGCAGTTAGAGTTTTTGCTGTCATCGTTGTCATCATCATCATTTTTACATTCCCTGTAAAAGAACCCAGGAACCTCAGCTCTGCAGGTGGCATACTTTGGCCCTCCAAGCCCTTGTTCCATCCATCATTTGCCTAGGGTTCAAATTAGGCCAAAAAGGGAAAAGGGACATATTGGACCATATGTCACCCCACTAGGGTGAACACGATGGGAGTCATGAGCCCAGCAATGTCTCTACATCGGAGCATGCAGCCTCCATCACCAGAGCCTCCAGGGACCTGAGGGAGACCTTCCCCTTCCTAAGCACTCCCCATAGTGCTTAGGAATGATCTGGCTGTGCGGGGGATAGTGGGGTGAGAGGGACCAGCCCTGGCTGCCATGCGCATTTGCAAACTTGGCATCCAGGTGGCCTAACTCCTTATTACCATCCAGAGGCAGGTGCCATGTACAGGTGAATGCCTTATTACAGCAAATAGGCAAGCAAATCCTGTTTGCATGTTAGCTTGTCTTCATGCAGTGGCATGATGCTGCTCATTAAAGCTTAGACTTCAGACTGCAGAGTGAAGGGGAGCTGAGTGTGGTTTGGGTGTTACTAACCTTTTGGGGCCACACACACCTCACACTCCACACACATGCACCACACACACATGCGCACACACACCTTCCCTATCTGAGTAGCTCCCAGGACGACCGTAGTCCAGTAAGTATGAATTTGAATATGAGTTGTACCTTCCACAGGTATTTCTAGAAGGGAGTAAATTAAGTTAATAATAAGAGAAATGAGTGTTTTTCTTTTCTCTTTGGTCTGCCCTAGAACTGAAAAGGCTGCTACCACCTCAAATGATGATGAAGACCAATTTATTGCTAGACAATTCCAGCAAACGCTTACAGAACTTGATGACGATCTGGAAGGTAAGGAGCATCATCCCTGCTACCTTAGCATTACCCTGTGTGGCAGCAGACTCTGGAAGTTATTTTTTCTGACCACACTTTGTATAACTACATGAGGAAAAGCTCTGCAGAAGGCTTGCAGTTTAAAGAAAGCCCAGATCAGAGGGGCGGGAGTACGGTGTGCACGGCTCCTGTGGACTGCCTTTCACTGGGGCTGCCGAGTTGTACTGTGGAAAAGTCTGAATAGCTGCTAAAACCTGCTCTGAATAATACTAATTTTGCAGATTAAAACGTATCCTAGGTTAAGTTCTTGAGCTCCGCTTCAGCGGCTCAGGGTTCGCAGTTTCAGATCCCGGGTGCGGACCTACACACTGCTTATCAAGCTGTGCTGCGGCAGCATCCCACATACAAAAGAGAGGAAAATTGGCCCAGATGTTAGCTCAGCAACAATCTTCCTCACCAAAACAACAACGAAAGTATTGTATACACATTAAGGAGAGAAAAGTTCTCCAGTACCAGATGAGTTAGGGAAACACTGGGCAACACACAGCTAAACAGGTTTCTTTACTGAGACTTGTAGCCCTTTGCTTGCTAACATGTGACATCTTTCTCTTGAAGAAAGATACTGACGATGAAACCTTGTGTAATAGAGCATCCCATGGCACTGCTATTCTGGGGATTTATTTGGGGAAATAATACTGTAAGGCCAAAGCAGATGCAAATAATCTGAATAAATTAAGCAAGGAATCTTTCCAAGAAAGGCAAACAGTGAAAATAAACTGGAAATTAGATATTGGCCGTGCCTTAAAACAAAACGATAAAGAAACAGACTACAGAGCTGATCACTAGTTTTGTCTGAGTTGCCTTTCAGTTCTCTGTCCTCAGGAGCCGTGGCTGACAGCGCTGAACAATCTAAGTCAGCCATACTGTGTCCTCGGGCTCTGAGGTGCTCGGGCTTAGTTATCTGCCTCTTAGGAACTTCAGGTGAGGGCAGTGGTCCCGTATGTTTTGTGGTGCTTCTGGTGAACAAGACCAAGATGAAGGTTGAACGCAGCTCACCTTCATGTTCTGTGCTGAGGCTGTTTCCAGAGGGCTTCGATTTAGAGAGCTGTTTTTTAAGTGAAGGATCTTGGCAAAATGTTGTACCTAAACACCTTGCCTTGAGACATCATGGATCGGCAAGCAGCTCCTCTGTTGAGTAATGAAAGTTGTACCTCTGGCCTCAGGCATATGTAGATTACAAGCTGAAATGACACTTTAAAATGTATGTATGTAACTTACACAGAAGTAACCTCAGGAGAATCAAAGTCCAGGTGTCATTACACCAAGTAATTGGTGTGGGAATCAGACTGGTGGTACCAGCCTGTTTGACTCGTGTTTGTACTTCTTTGCAGAAATGGAAGAGAGTTATGAAACCGACACCAGCTCTCTAACCAGCTCCATAAATGGTGTGTCTAGTGGCTGCATGCAAGATGCCATAATCCCCGACAGTGATGAAAATGCAATCCCAGTAACGTTCATAGGGGAAGTTTTAGATGATCCTGTGGATTCAGGGTTATTTTCCAATAGAAACAACAATGCTGGTTCTTTTGACAAGGGGAGTATAAACAACGGGAGAGCCCACCTGATGCCGTATCAGGCTGAGCACAGCCAGCAACATGGAAAGAAGAACGCAGAAGTGCCTGAGTCATCTACTCCTTCCCAGGACATTGGAAAAGAAATCAAGTCAGCCTGGCCCAACACCTGTAAAGATGTGAATCCAAATAACGTGGAGCCCAAGGCAACATCTGCTTCAAGGCTTCCCACACATGACCTACATACAAAGGAGAGAGGCGAGGCACATGGCTCTGCTCACAGTGAGGAGACACAGGCCATCAAGAGAGTGAATTCGCAGCCAATGAAGGAAAAGAAGGGCAATGATAAAAACGATGTCTCAGCACCACCGTTCTGGTATCAACGAGGCCAAAATGCACGGGGAAGTTATGGGCCTAAATATGGCCTCACAACATATAAAATTGTCCCTCCAAAATCAGAGATGAGGTGTTACGACAGAGGAGTATCGCTCTCAACAGGCGCCATTAAGATTGATGAGCTAGGGAATCTGGTGAATCCCCATGCCAATGGGGGCAGGATCATACTCCTGTCACCCACCCTTGAAACAGAAGGTGAACCCATTGGAAAAGTCAAAGAATTCTGGAGGGCCAACTCTATGGGAAAACACTCTGGCCGGCCCACAGAATGCTCAGCCAAGAGGACCCCGACCGTGCCAGCAAAACCACAACATCAGGAAAGCAAACTCAGAGCAGAGCCCACCTTCCCAGACCCCAAAGTGACATTGCCCCAGCAACAGTCTGCCCACCAAGAAGGTGGGAGACATCTGGAGGAGGGGAAGAGCCAACCACCCTCTGCAGTCGCTTGTCACATGAAAGTGCCAGTAGCTAATACCACAGAAGTCCCATTTCTCAAGCCTCAGAGAAGAACATCCAGTCAGTACGTGGCCTCTGCCATTGCCAAGCAGATAGGGACCCCAAAGACCCACACCAATATAGTGAGAAAGCATGCTGATGCCGAGAAGACTCATGAAGGCAGAGCACAAGAGCTAACTGGACAATCATCTGCTGTGAAAGGTGGTACCACCCCCAGCCCATGCTCAGAGAAACAGATTTGTAATGATGGGGCAGAATCAGCAGAAGGAGCCCATCCCAGAGGGCAAGTCAGCAGCCCTTATGGAAAGGTTTCCAATCAAGACTGTCCTGCTGACATCCACAGACGTTCCTATGTCCCTCTGGTCACAACTTCCCAGAGGGATCATGTTTCTGTGGGACAGAACTGTGGTTCCAGTGGAAAACAGAGCACAAGTAATCACAGGACCGGCTCAGCATCTGACCTCAAATTCCCTCCGGACAGTACAAATCCTCTGCCTCCTGGCTCAGGAGATGATGAGACTCCTGGCAGGGCCCTGGTGAATGGCTCCAGGAGGGTCCCCGTCCACAGTGAGCCTCACTCTCCGAGAATGCCCGGCACAAATAGCCACACTGGCCGGGAGCCCCTAGAACAGAAGGAGAAGCCCAATTTGTTATGCACAGATGTACATGAAACCGATGGTACACTGCCACCCAGCATCTTTGGCCCGAAGAAGAAGTTCAGACCTGTTGTCCAGAGGCCAGCACCAAAAGACACGTCCCTACACAGCGCCCTGATGGAAGCCATCCACTCGGCAGGAGGGAAGGACGGGCTTCGCAAGGTGATCACGGCAGGCGCCTGCCTCCAGCACATAGGCACACCTTCCACACCTGTCAGTTTGGTGCTTGGATGTAGACTCTCAGATGGCTTTGGAGGAGGGAGAGGGCAAGGATGCGAATGAGGGAGGACGCTCAGGTTTAGTTTTCAGCAGGATTTCTGTCATACTGCCTATGGAGTATCCGAATAGAACCACTAAGGAGACTAAAACTGATGGCTTTGGGCTTGTCCACACTGCTTTTAGGCCCCTGACTGCCCTGGGGAAAGATGTCGCCAATAACTAGTCCCTACTTGTGCCCTGGGAGTGGAGAGGCGGAGGTAGGTCATCCCTAACTGGTCCTTGAGCGATGCGGTAGGTAAATGAAGAGGCAGGCCAGGCCACCACCCCTCCCATATGCCTGCATTTCTAGCAGTGGCATACTGTCATTCTTCAGTAACAACAAGGACAATTTTATGATGCCTGTCGCCCCTTATCTAGGCATTTAACATGTTACAGACATTATCTCATTTAATTGCTATACCAACATGGATGATTAGGAACTATTTCCTCCATTGCAGATGGGGAAACAGGCACAGTGAGGTCAAGTGACCTAGCCCAAGGTCACACTACTAGCTAGTGGCAACCAGGACTTTCATCCAGGTCTGCAGGGCTTAAAAGCACCACCTACCAGCTTGAAAAGCTAGGACCAATAATCGAAGTGATAGGATGTTAAGAGGCAGTCATCCAATGCTTCCCCACATGCAGAACCTTTGATTTTTACATCTACCCTCTAACAGATAGGGGTTGTAAAATTGATCCTATAGGCCTCAACAGATGTGTGTGGGCTTTCTTTTGTGCTGCCTTACAATTAGCATTTCTCCATCTTCTGCGTGAAATACGTTGACACTATTAAATATTCTAGACTGCAGAACACAGCTCAGAGGGAGGGCCAAAGAAACCGTCCTACACAGAGGCAGAGAGTGAGCGCTCAGCTCTGCTGGCAGCTATCCGAGGTCACAGTGGTGCCTGCAGCCTGCGGAAGGTAAGAGAAGGACCTTCCTTGCCAGGGTGGTTTCACATACCTGCTCCCCCAGTGACCCGGGTAGATGCTGAAAAGCCAGGACACCCCTCCAATTTTCTAATTGGATGCTCAGCCATCGTTGGGGTAGCCAATACAACCACTGGGGAGGCGTTGAGGGGTGGGTGCCCAGCTCCAAGAGGCTGGGGCAGCCATTGCACAGGAGAGGTGAGAGCATCCAGAAACTTTCCCCCCTTTCCTGACCATGTAATTCCTACCTGCATACCTAGCACCTAGCACCCTCCCAAATTCCGCAGGTTCCGCGCATGGCTTCAGGACTTAGATCCCCGGCAGCTAGGAGTAAGCAGCCTCTCACCTCTGGGAATGAAGTTGCTGCATCCTCTAGCGCTGGTTTGGCACAACTCCAGGATCCACCATGGACTTGAGTTTAGGGTCAGGCCCCTCTCATCTAGCTTTCACAGGCCCACCTGCCTGGCGTGTGGGTCCTCCCCAGTGATTGGTCAGAGTGGTGTGTGGCCTCCAGGTCTGTCCTTTGGGACGTGCCAAGACAAGTAAGAGATCTGGCAGTTCTCAGTGAGGCACGTCTGCCTGCCCTGCTCCCTGCAGTCAGTGCTGGCCGCTGGGAGAGCATGGGGACAGTGAACAGACACACCTCCTGGGCTTGTTGAAGGGTGAGATAGTCAGTCATGCACTGATCTCCTAGAAGGGACCACTGAGGACATTCTTGTTTAACCATCTTGTTGCTAGGTGACATCCCTCGCCTCTGAGGAGCTCCAGAGTTTCCGCCATGCTGCACTGTCTGCACAGATGTCCGAACCCCCAGGGCTAGAAGACCTTCGTGTTCAGCCCCCGCCAGCTCTGCCACCCCCGCCCCCTCTGGCTGCTTCCTCCACGTCCAGGATGGCGTCCAGGTCCAGCTCAGGCCCCCTCAACAACCCGGTAGATGCCAGGCAGGCCTTGATGGATGCCATCCGCTCCGGCACAGGGGCTGCAAGATTGAGAAAGGTCTGTGTGTGACAAGGGACTGTGTGAGCATTCGTGTTGGGGCACCACCTGTAGTAGGGTGAGGGGTGGCCAACAGCGCTGCGCCCCTTAGCACATTGACTCACTGGAGTGGGGAAGTCAGCCCCCAGCCCAGCTCCTGGAGACACAGGGGAGGTCCCCACCACACTTCTAACCCCTGAGCGCATTTCCACCACCCACTGCTGACTCTGGTCAGGCACTTGCCACACACAGCCCTCAGCCTGGATTGAAGCTGCCAGCATAATTTCTTTCTTTTTCTTTTTTTTCTTTCTTTCTTTCTTTTTTTTTTTTGCCAGCATAATGTTTAAAAATTATTGAGTATGAAGTCCCTTGGGCAGAGCACATGCTTTTGGTCCTCTGCAGTTTCTCCTTCTGTACAGCCCTATGCTGGTCTGCATGTTTATACCCTGCCTGGTCCCCGAAAGCAATGGAATCTGGGCCCCCACAAAGGGGTTCCCAAATTAAAAGGACTCTTGGTCCAGACAACCTCTGAGATCTGTTTCAACTCCAAAATGACTCTGTAAATGGGTTGATCCTCTACCCCTGTCCATTTCTAGTGGGTTGGGGAGTTGTGCTAACAGTAGGGAGGCTAGCAAAAGGTATCTTCTGAGAGATTCTCTAGATGATAAGCTTATGTTTTCACATGTACCTGAAGAGGGCAGAACCAAGATTATCCTCATTTTATCTACAAAGTGAACAAGGCTCAGAAAACCTGAGTAACTTGATCTCAGACAGGAGTCAGTTTGGGCACAGAAAGTACTTGTAACCAGGTCCCCACGCATGCTCAGTAGGAGAGCGGGTAGCCCACAAGATTGTGGCCACTTTAAACACAGGGCTGTGGCGCTGCTACAAGGGCCGAGTGCTCTCCTGTTTCCCACCTGGGAGCCAACGGCAGCGGAGGAGAGGGGCACAGGCCCACGCCCCCACAGGCAGCATGGCCGTGAAGGACAGTCCTCCCTGAAGCCCAGAGATGCCCACCACTGGTACTCTGTACACGAATGGCCTGGATGCCCACTGACTGGGAGCTCCATGGCTTTCCCAGCTCCCCTGGGTGCCACTGTCATGGCTCTTGGTCAACCCCCAGAGCTTGACCTGGTGTGACAGTGAGGTGTTCATGTCTATGTGCATGTGGGCCTCAGTAGGGACCCAAGATATTGTGTAACAAGGATGCTAGCCATGATCACTAAAAGCACAGCCCCACTCAGGATGCTGGAAAAAGAAAATGAACTCTTAATTGAATAGCAATAGAGTGGCACATTTCTCACTCTCTCCTTCAGAGGGGGAGCAGTTAAAAATTACTGAGGTCTTTTGGTTTTGTTCATCCTTTTTGCATTTCTACAGAATATGTATTGATTAACTTAGGCACTTATATTGCATAGAATGAGGGAAAAGTGAAGAAATTGGGGTGAGTGGCTAAATAAGGATCCTAGAAATCAGACCCTGTGAATTCTGATAGCTCTGTGGTTCAGCCCTGAGACAGCGTCCCTCCTCCAGACATGTCTCAGCATCAAATTGAAAATGCCGATTGTTCAAAGTCCTTCTCCAGCGTGCAAAGCAATGCAGTTGGTTATCAGCCCTGATGGTCTGGTACATTTTTGAGTTTCTAAAACAGTATTTCTCAAAGTGGCATCCATAGGACATCTACATCCTGAATCAGACTTTTCAGGACTTTGAGCCTATAATCTCCAGTTTTCAAGTGTTTACCAAATGGCTTAACATTCAGATTTGGGATATTATCTATGTTTTTGAGCTTTTGATATATACTGAAAAACACTGAGTGTAATTTCAGTAGTGCCCCCTTATCGATGGGGGATACATTCTAAAACCCACAGTGGATGCTGAAACCACAGTCAGTACCGAACCCTATATATACTGTGTGTTTTCCTATATGTACATAACTATGATAAAGTTTAATTTATAATTAGGCACAGTAAGAGATTAAGAACAATAACTAAGAATAAAATAGAACAGTTTTAACAATATACTGTAATAAAAGTTATGTGAATGTAGCCTCTCTCTCTCTCTCAAAATATCTTCCTGTACTTTACTCAGTCTGCTTTTTGTGATGATGTGAGAGGACACAGTGCCTACATGATGGCATGAAGTGAGGTAGTACAAGGCTACTATTGGCTGCTACAAGGCTACGATAGGTCAGAAAGAGGACCCTTTGCTTCAGGTGCTCCAGGATCATGGAGTCATGACAATGTCGATGGTTAGATGTCAGGAGCAGATGATGTCAATGGTTGGGGATCCTCGATAGTGGAAAGTTTTTTGCCAGAACCTTCTAGGAGACCATTGTAATCAGAAGTTGCTGTCTCTTTCTTTTTAACTCCTCGAAGTGTTGCTTTAGAGATTGTAGTCCTTCAGTGATCACATGGGTGACTTTAATGCTGCATTCCACCTGAGGATTGTATCCCCTAATTTCGTCCTTTAATGTCTGTGCAGTTTGAAACACTTGGGCAAATTTTAGTAATGTCCACATTGCTGATTCTGCTTCAGTTTCTTCTTCTTCATCTTTGTCTTCCTATTCCTCTGTAGATGATCAACAAGTTCTTCCAAGTCCTTATTTGTTAACACTTCTCAATGGCCTTCAATACGTTCTTTCACTTCTTCATCAGCATGTTGACAAATCCTTCTCCACCAACTTGTCTTGCTGCATGAATGATTTCTCTAACTTCTCCATTGTTCCCTGGGAAGCCTTTAAAATCATTTGCAACTTCGCTCCATAAGTTCTTCCAGCAGGCACTTAAAGTTTCTGGTTTTAATTCATCCATTGCAGCTCTGATGAATGTTATTGATCAGAAATAGTGAATGATTTCCAGCACTGCATCATGTCCAGATTAGAGTCTGCATCAATTGCTGATCGAATGCAATCAAATACCAGGCAGGTGTATGTGGCCTTGACAAACCAAATGATGCCCTGGTCAAGGGGCTAAAGCGATGAGGTTATATTTGGAGGTAAAAATACAATCTCAACATTTTCCTTTTCATAGCAAATAGGTTCAGGATGGCCAGGTGCACTGTCTACTATTTTAGGACTTTAAATTCCAGCCCTTCCTCGTCCAAGTGTTTTTTCACTTCTGGAATGAAGCATTGGTGAAACCATTCCATAAACAAGATGGCTATTACCCACACTTCTGATTATGCTACCAGAACATAGGCAGATGATTTTTGTTTTTGTTTTTGAGAGCACATGCATTCTTCCCTTTGTGCACTATGCTTGGCTTTATCATATGCCCTGTAGCATTGCCACATAGTACCAGAGTTAATCTGTCCTTCCATGTTTTATGCCCTGGTACCTCCTTTGCATTTTTATGAATGTAGATTCTCTTGGGCATCTTCTTTCAGAAGAGCCTGGTTTCAGCACGACTGAAGACTTTACTTCAATGGTATCCTTTCTCCTTAGTCAACTTCCTCAACTTTGCTAGAAATGTGGCAGCAGCTTCTTCAGCAGCAGATGCAGCCCTCCAGTAATTTTTATATTTTTCAGTCCAAACCTATTCCTGAATCTGTGTAACCATCCCTTACTTGCAATAAATGGCTTGCTATCACTCATTTCTGGGGAGGCCTTACTGAAGTCTTTATATTAGGCTCAGTGCTTTGTGGCACAACATGTCGCCGTCAGTTGGAACACGTTTTCAGTTCATGTCTTCCACTCACAAATGTAATGCCTTTTCCATCTTAACTAAGCATTACCATGCACTATGGTTGTAACTTTTGCAGTTTGAGATATGACAGCAAAACTAGCATGAATTTCTTTTTCTTTCTTCAAAGTTTCACGAATAAGAAGATTTATTCTTGCCATAGATCTTAGCAACTTCAGCGTACAATTATTTTTTTCATATTAAGTCAAGAACTTTCACCGTTTCACTTAAAGGAAGTACTGTATGGCTTCTCTTTGGCATATCCGAATTGCCAGCATCACCACTCTTGCACCTTGGGGCCATTATTAAATACAATAAGGGTAAGTTGAACACAAGCACCGTGATACTGTGACAGTTGATCTGGTAACCAAGACGGCTACTAAGTGACTAAGAGGCAGGTAGTGTATTCAGTGTGGATCTGTTGGACAGAGGGATGAGTCACACCCCGAGTGGGATGCAGCGGGTAGGGTTTCATCACGCTACTCAGAACAGCACTCAATTTAAAACTTATGAATTGTTTATTTCTGGAATTTTCCATTTAGTATTTTTGGACCACAGTTGACCATGGGTAACTGAAACCACAGAAAGCAAAACTTCTGATAAGGGGGGACTAGTGTATATAAAGGCTATGAGCAAACACTGTGTTCATGTCTTATATACATCATCTCATTGACTGATTTTCGATTCTTTTCAAAATAGATAATAATCTCTCTACCTTGCAGGAGCCATGAGTCCAGAGAGGTGGAAAGCTTACCTAAGGTCTTATAGCTAGGAAGTGGCAGATGACTACAAATCTAAACCTCAGGCTTTCTCTCTGAGAGTATACTCCTGTGCCTTCCAGAAAGAAAGAAAACAAAAATAAGTTTGGAAATTTTCCGAAGGAACAGAGGACAGTTGTTTGTACTGTGAGAAAGCAAGGACAGTGGGTAGAGAAGGGCCAGGACTACACATGGAAAGTTGGGCATTTGCTGATGACACAGATGGGAGTGTGCATTTCTGGACCCCAGGCAGGCAGTGGTTCAAGTGGCTTGCCCTCTTCTTTGTGTGGAGCAGTAGACCTGTGGCACCAGGACACACATGCATTTCAGGCAACAAGGGCCAACTGTGTATTTTTCTAGGAATCCTGATTGGATGGCACTTCTCTGCCTGGCGTGGACCTTGGCGGTTTCTACTGGCGTTGCAGCAGATGCACTTCATGTGTGTTACAGCATTTGGACCTCAGATCATTTGAGCTTTGCCTCTACTACCTCTTTGGCTTCCTGTCACCTTTTGGGGTTTTAAAGTTATATAATCATGAGGAAAATGCAGTAAATGCGGGGCTGCAAGATCCACACGGTG